GCAGAATCCTACGTGCCACAGACCTGTAATCTAGAATTGCAGACAAGTGAGCTGAATAACTTCAGGATAAACTAACCAATGCCATAAGTTTCCATTTGAAGTTCCCTATCTATTTAATAACTTTGTGCAACATCAGGATTGCAAGCTGAGCAGACAAAACACAAGTCAGAGTGCCTGCTTTGGTGGAGAGTCATGAGCTTCATAATGATAAAGCAAGAGCTCTAGTTTAGGAGTGTCCACTACTCAAACCTACCTCGTTAAGGTTCTAAAAATCACTGTTTCAACACCAGCTGAGCAGCTGCTTCAAGCTCTCGTGACTAATGTACCACAAGCATGTGGTTACAGGGAGTGCATGAGAATTTTTACTAGCCATAGCAACTGGATGATGGTACAAAGGGCGAGCTCAGGTAGAAAGGAAATATGACAGATGAGACAGTCCCATCACACACCTTAGTGCTCACTGCACCACCCAGAGGACAGCCAGGTGAAACCTGCACGAGTTCACAACACAATACCCAATCTCTGTCATATATCAGTTTGGAAATTAGGTGGTCCAGAGCTAGCAATTCAGTAACTCGCAAATACAACACAGAAAGAGATTTTAGTGGCCTTGTTTTTCACATTCACGTATTTAAGCTTACTTTTCAGCACAAAAAGCCTTGGCTGTGGAACACACCCCAGAACACAACTTAAAATTCAGCTGGGAAAAAAATGATCATGAGTGACAAAGAGACAGGCATGTCATCTCACCCCTTGGTGGAAAACAGCATTGCAGGAAGGTGACTAAGTGCTCTAAAAACACACACCTCCCTTGGCTGCCTCCAATTCAGCATGCTTAAGCACACCATAGCAGCCTAGCATTAACAACAAAGCTTAGGATCATCACCACAAAACACTTCCTGACATCCCTTCAGAGGACCAGGTTCATATTTCTATACGTGAAACAGATTCTTCCTTAGTAAAATCAGATTTTAAAAGATGAAACATTCCACAAGTGTTCATTCACATTCTTTCACGTCCTCAAACGTCTTAAATCATTTATTTTAATACCACAAGCCAACAGGTTAGAGGCTGCAGCATTATTCAAATTCTACTTCTCCTAGATCCCTCACTCCTGCCAGTCCAACACAGCTACTTGCAGGACTGCCCAGCAAACAGGGCCAAGGAACAGCTAAATACAGCCAGCTACTTTGTACAATGCCATGTCAGGTCCTACAGGAACTCTAACTGGATTGTAAAGGCAAAAGATACTTTATATCTGGTTTGCCAAGAACATAGCTACCATTAAGTCATAATCTCAGCTCTTCAGATGCTGTCCCAGTGATGTCTCAATTTCGCCAATTTCTTTCTTGAATCATATCTTCATTAAGGACATTACCATCGCTAACAATAGCACAAGGCTGCTGCTGATGAAAGTACATGAGAGCTCTTCTGAACATGAGTACTTTGAAAGATGACAGCTGACACAATGAGCTCCTTTATCTACAGCTATTTTTAAAGGCGTTCAGATTTGAATTTCAATGTTAGAAAGAAGCAGGGAGGCTGCTGACAGACGTGCACTAAGAAAACAGGCACGTTAATTTATAAGCCCATTTTTTAGTCTTAAAGGAAAATAACTGCAGTACTGCTTGCCATTCTTTCAGAGCACAAAATGGTGCTAGTTCTGACCATAAAATCACTTTAATGAAGACCTGCCATCCCGAAAATAATAGCTGCACACAGCCTAACTTTCAATATCCTATTCTGATCTTTCCAGGAAATTTTCTAATGCAACGTGCCAGGTTTAGACAGCGTACTTTAACTTGCAAGGCAATTTCAGAATTAATCTAACAACGCATTTATTGACTCTCATCAGAAAACAAGAAGATGGACTCCTGACCACTTAACTGCAATACCAACTATACCACACACTCAGCTCGGCAGCCTGTACTCCAACTTCTGCTCACCCTGCAGGGTGGTGCAGCCCAGAAAAATGAAGCTGAGTCTCCTAACAGCCAGTTTTACTTTATGCCTGCTGTCAGTTTCTTGTCCTTATATTAAAACTAGAGAAAAAAAAAAAAAAAAAAACAATAAAAAGGGACAACTTGTGTGTAGCACATCCCTACTCACATCTGATTCCACTCCCAAAACCATCACTTGCTTCCTTTGCAACACTTTCTCCCTGGAAAACAGGAGCCCTTAACACAGGCAATAGGGCAAACCAAAGGCTTTCTGTCTGTCCTACCTCGCAGACTCGGACTGTATTAATGACTGACCAGCCAAAGGGGAAAAGGAATTACTATGACATAGAGAAGACTGCACGCCCATTTTATTTTATTTTATTATTACTCCTCTCCTCGCAGTACCGGGGTCTCAGACGTAGAAAACCGTCTGAAGCCATGTTATAAACACGGCGGCCCGGAGCGGTGCCGGCGCTCAGACGAACGCAGCGTTACGGCACCTCCCGCCCGTCCTGCCGAGGCCAGGACCTCCGCTGCGCTTCAGCCCTCACCGCCCTCAACGCGCCGCGCTCGGCCCCGCACCGCCGCCCCGCCGGTCTGGGCGCGGCCCTCACCCGTGCTCGTCGTCGTCGCGGGCCGGGCTGGCCTGCCGGGCCCCGGACCCCGCGCCTCCCGCGGGCTGCTTGCCGCCGCCCTTCTTCAGGATGCCTTTGATGGGCACCCGGCCCGACGCTCCCGTCGCCGAAGCGGCCGGCACCGAGGGCGCCTCCATGGCCGCGCCACCAGCCGACTTCCGGTCCCCGCCTCGGCCCGCCCCGATCCGCAGCGCGTCAGATCCGCCGGCGCCGGACGGGTAGCGCTCCGCCTTCGCTGCTGCGCCCCCTGGTGGTCGGAGGACTGCCGCCGTCCTGCCTGCAGAGCTCCCGCGCGACCGCGGTGGGGCGCCGTGCGCCGACGGCGGGCTCTCGCGCGTGCACGGGGCTCCGTGCACGCGGCGGGCTCTGGCACGCGCATGGGGCCTCTCGCACGTGCCCTATCGCTGATGGCGATCGGTGTCACGTGGGGACCGGCACGCGCGGCCCGTGTGCGGTTTCACGCCGGAACGGCTCGCAGTCATCCCGTCTGTGTCCCCATTCCTGTCCCCGTCCATCTCAGAGCTCGGCACGGAGACGCCACGCCAGGCTGGGTGAATGCTGCCTTAGGAACCGGGGAGGCTGAACCCCGAAAGAAACCGGGAATGGGGAGAAAGGAAGTGATCCGCCCCGAAATGTCACCCAGTGGGAAGCGGCCGTGCGGCTGTGTGCATCCCCACGTGTCCCCGTGTTACCCTGAGGCTGCAGGGAGAGCCTGGGCTGCACCATGGGATCGCGGTGGAAGCACCGAGAGCTGTGAAGGGGCGATGGCATGAGCACGGCAGCTGCATGCAGCCCTACACGGCTGTGGGGCGCAGCCCAGGGCTCCCAGTGCCAGGGGCAGAGGTGGGAGGCAGGGGCTGGCCGAGCCCCTCACCGTCCAGGGGCTGTGGGAGGGCTGCAGTGGGCTGGGAAGCGCCGCAGGGAGGCACAGAGGGCCGGGAGCAGGTGCTTGGTTTTGTATTTAATGAGTTGCTTCGGTGCTATGCGAGCAGAGCTGCAGCAGGAGTGAGGTGCTGAGCAGGGCAGGCTGTGGAAGCAGGGCAAGGCACACCCCAGGCAGGACCTACTATGGGCTGTCAGAACACGAGGTGCTGGCCCCGGGGCTCTGCAAGGCCTCGCAGAGGCAGCTGGGGGCACATGCAGACCGTGGGAAGGAGCTGTGGTGAGGTTCTGGGCGTTTGGAGACTTCTCATGTTTTAAATACAAAAGTCCAAATCTGAATTCTAGGGTGGAGATCAGATGTGGCAGCAACCTGCAGAGAAAGCACACTCAGAATGGCTGGCCCCAGCTGCAGCACTGTCCCCTGTGTTCCCAGCAGGCCTAGAAGCATCAGAGCCAAAACTGGGTTCATGATGAGTCTCCCCTGCATCTCACAGCTTTTTGTATCCGCGTGCTGTGGGACCCGTGGCAGCAGCAGAGCCCCATGCCTGCACATCAGGGCTGGTTGTCTTTCCCCATCAGCTTGCAGTCAGCCACACTGCAGAAGTCAGGTGGGGTGAGATGGACTGGGAGGAACAGCGACAGCGGGAATTGCACACAGTGCCCGGGGCTGGCAGACTACTGTGAGCGAAGGGATCATTGCTTTGCTCTCTTACACAGAAACACTACCGGCTAATAAGGGAAGCGACCCAGTTCAGAGCTGGCCTGCTGTGCACGGCAGCGGTTACATCTCAGCGGGGCAGTTGAGCTGATCCGTGGGCATCATCTTGTCGGTGTCGATCTTGTAGGACTGGAGCATGCTCTTCAGGTGCTCTACAGTGTCTGGGTGCATGTCAGGAGCTCGGGACATAATCCAGGCGTAGTCAAAGTGGAAAAGCCAGAGGATGTTGGTGCAGGAGTATACCAGCGAGTAGTTCTCGTAGTCAGTAGAGATGACCCAGTATGGGGCAGAAGGCATAACTGGGGGAGAGAGGCTCAGTTACATTGGGGGCAGCCACTCCTGCACAGCAGGTGGCCACAGCCTCAGACTTAGAGCTGCCCCCGCTTTTACTGCTGCCAAGCTGTGAAACTGCAGGTCTTGTTGACAAAACCCATCAGGATTCCTCGCTCTGCCCAGAGGGATCCCAGAGTGCCACAAAGTCCTGCATAGGAAGCTGTAGCAGGGGAGTTAGTGCCATGACCTTGCCCAGTTGCTTGCCCAGTTCTCTGGCAGAGTGCTATTCATACTCATGTGCCTCAGGCCCTGCCTGCTCTGAGACCCGTGCCCTCACCCCACTGTGCTCCCAGGCCCCAGGGCAGGCCTGGCCCTTACTCTGTGGCTCTGCCCCTCTGCTGCGAGGGAGCTCAGCCCACCCACATCAGCAGTACTTACACCAGTTGAAGCGGACGCCCAGCTTGGCCGGCTCCTTCACATCTGTGTGCATAATTTCTCCTTCGATTTCATTTATTTTGCCACTGGAACTAAGGGCAGGAGGACACAAAGAAGAAATCATATCAGCTGTGCTTGAAATCACATTTCAGTTCCTAACTTTGTGGGCAGGACGTTACCCCTCAGGATACCCATGCCTACCAACAGGGGCAGACCCTCCCTACTGCCTGTGGGAGCCGCTGGCCTGCAGGGATGGGACCAGCAGCACCCAGGACACACCAAAGATGCAGACCTCCCTGTGCAGGACAGGCAGAGCCCAGCACCTTACGCAGTGTGCCAGGGCTAACCAGACCCTACTGCTTGTGTGTGTGTTCACCTCTGTTTAATCACCTGTGTTTTTTCCAGGTCAGCACACTCTTCTGCACCCATCCCTGCTCGGTAAGCTGGGGTTTGTTCCACTGCAGGTGCTGAGCACAGCCCTGCTGGCAGCAAGCTCTGCCACTTGGCCACCCATCTGATAATTGCCTTTATCCGCCGCATGCCTCAAGACCTCCACGCTGCCCGTGGGGCAGGAAAGTTTCACTGTTTCTTGTGAAACAGGAACGTCCAGGACAGCAATGCACAGCCCCATTGGCACGCCGCCTGCATCCCAAAAACAGCACACAGCTGTTCGCCAGCATGGGAGCTGCAGGGACAATGAGGCACAGCCAGAGAGCAGCATGGGCACAGCTCCCTGTCGGCCACAAGGCGCCTTGTGCCACGCTGTTGTTCTTGTGAGGCAGAACAAAGTCCCCATGCCATGCCAGGGAGCGCAGGGACTGCGCATCCCCCCTGCTTGCTCACGCGCTCCTGCCACTGGCACCCCATGGCACCAGGGCTAGCACAGAGCCTGATACATCAGCATCTGTGTTTATGCCTCCCCCAGCAGCCAGAAACAGGGGATGTGGAGAAAAATCACCCCCTGGGATAGGAGGAGGGGAGGTGAGAGCCTCACCAATACAGGCACGGCCTGCACACCGGCACTTACAGCATCTCCTTGTTGATCACTTTAAACTTCCCGTTCTCCTTCAGCGAATAGTTTGCCTGGACACAGCTTCCTTTCTCGAAATTTGAGGGCAGCTTTTCTATCTCGTACCATTTTCCCAAATACTGAGAAAAGAAAGTCAAGAGAGAAGCTTGGAGCACAGGGGCTGAAAGTGGAACGGCTGAGCCCACTGGGTTTATGTGAGCCATGGGCATTGCAGCAGGGTGGCTGCTTCTACACAGGGCTGGGCTGGACCAGGAGCAGGGCACCGGTATCACTGCTGCCATGGGGCATCCAGGTCACCACTGACCCACATCTGAGCACTGTGCCATTGCTCATGTGCCACCCAAACCCTCTCACTGCCTGCTGTGAGGCTTTAGAATCACTTCACACCTTGTTGATATCGAAGTTCTGCTGCACTGGTGGATCTGGGCATGGTCCCATGTGGAACATCTGTGCATTCCCCAAGCTGAGGAGACCGAGCAGGACTGAGAGCTGCACTGCCGTGCCCAGCATGGCTGTGCTGGTGGGAAACAGACCTGGGAAGGAGGAAAAAAGCTGCATTTGGCCCTGAGAAGCAGCAGGAATGACAGCGCAGTTTCAGGTGCTGGGGTGCTCACAACTTCATCAACACCCACCCCTGCGAGGTGTGCTGTGAGGAGGTAGAGGGCACATTTTCTGCAGCACAGCCCCCAGCCCATGCCCCGGGCACAATGCAGCATCCTTCGTGATGTGCTGACCAGCACAGAGCCGGGTGAGACCTGTGCCACCCACCCCACACAGACCCAGCACCAGGACCCTGCCCACACGCTCCGGGCATGGAGCTGCTCTGCATCCAGCAAGGAGCGGCAGCGGCATTTCCCCAAGTTTTGAAGACGAGCCCAGTCTGCCTCCAGCTGCAGGGCATGGCCTCTCTGTGGACAAACACAGCATCTCCTAGCTCAGACACATACCTTGGCTGATGAGACACAGCGATGCTCCGCGGAGGACCAGGTCCGCACAGAACAGCTCTGCAGGGAGATCTCCACCCCTCCTTTTATAAGCGTGCCGGGATTCTCATTATTCAGCACTGGCACAAGCCACTCCCTGGCCTTGGACGTGTTTTGCTTTGCGGAGGGCCGGTCGGCTGCCTTGGATCTGCAGCTGGTACGGGGCCAGGGATGGGCCTCGCCTTGGCTGCTCACCCATGCAAACAGCAGCCCTCGTCTCTGCGCTCCACTCCCTGCTGCTGGGCAGCCTGGGCCGGCCGCTCAAACAGCCCTGTGGCTGCACACAGCAGGAGGGAGAACCCGCAGCCCTGCCCTATTGCACTGGCCCATCACTGTGCTCCTGGGTGAGCCTGTCCCCTGCCCCACATCTCACAGACCCTCAGGGTGCTCAAGGGCACTTGAATGGGGTCTGAGCTGTGGCGTGGTGCTGCCCCATGGCCGACCCACAGAGGGGCCTCCTGCTGAGGGGAGCACTGGCTCCTCACAGCCACCTCTGTGCAGGGTCTGTGACCCCTGTGCAGCCCGGTGACACAGGCTGGCAGTGTGTGCAGTGCTTGAGCAAGGCAGCTCCCAGCCATCCTGGTCAGACCCAGCGCATGGGGTTGTTGAAGTGTGGGAAGAACTGCAGGAATGCTGAAGGGCCGCAGGGTCTTCTGGCAGTTTGTTTTCCAGACTTGTCTCATCCCGAATGAAAGGTGTCAGTGTAATTAGCTGTGTGCTGATCTGACAGCCCTTCCAACAGGTGCCCGGCAAATGGCTCTGACAGCAGTGCAGTCATCTGTGAGTCCGCCGGGCCCGTGCGTTATGCAAGGAGCTGGGTGGCAGCCAGCTGCCTCGTGTGGTTAATTGCTGCCTTTAAAACCTTATCTCTGCTGAGACTTTCACTCTGTGTGCCCTTATGTGTGTGTGCACATCCTAGGGAGCCTCTCACTGCCCACATGATGCCCTAAGAGCCACAAATATCCCTCCCAAAAAGCCCATGCAGGGCATGGACACTCAGGCCATGATGGCCCCTCCAGGTGCACTAAGACAGAACCGAGGTGAGCTGACAGCCAGGCCCTGGCTGCTGGGCTGCCTGGTGCCTGGGCTGTCCCTCTGTCTCTGCCCAGCTACACAGAGCCAAGGGTCAGGGGGAAGCTGAGCCTCCCGAGCAGCTTAATTGCAGGGTGCAGAGAGCTCATCTCCAGCTGGCAGGTGGCTCCTGGCCCCAGGGCAGAGGAGGGAGGCACATCAAAGGGCAGGAAGCTGGGGCAGGGCTGGGAGGACAGGAAGGAGGAGAGGTGGGGGGAAATGAGCCAAGGGAGAGCAGGAGGTGCCCGGAGCGCTGCTGCAGGAACAGGGCCTCCACCCGTGTCTGGGTGACAAAGTTGCTGCCTGCTCCTCACCGTGCACCCCAGGGATGCCAGCCTAGGGCAGGAGACAACAGAACCCCTCTTTGCACTGAGACCCTGAGGCAGGGAGGGGTCTCCTTCAAAATGCCATCTTCCCCGTCCACCTCTGCCATGGAGAGTTCGCGGTGTGCATACTGACTGTGGTACTGGTTGGAAGCTCCACGTGAAAGTGCTTCTCAGGGAGCACAGGCTGCAGTGGATGCAGGGCTGGATGGCTCCTGGGGCTGCTGCTTGTGGCAGGGTGGTGGAGCTGCCCTGGAATTTCAGCACCCCAGCTGCACAGGATGGGAGAGCAGCTGGAAAAGCCTCTGTTGGAGGCACTGCAGTGACCAGGAGCTCAGCCTCTGCTGTGGGACACCAGCAGCTCCTGCCTCAGTGCTGGAGCAAGCATGTCCCGGGGCCAGGGCTGAGATCCAGCACAGGGACAACACTGTGCGTGGATGGCTCTTCCTCATACAGAAGGTTCCTTCCTTCCCTTTCTTTGTCTTTGCCCCTGCAAGTTCATCTGGAGTGTTTTTCTGCCTCCCCTAAAGAAAACGTGGTTTTGGGAAGGCCAAACAGGCCAAAACATGCATAGAGACAAAAATGAGCCCAGAGGGGAAAAGGCAGAGAAAAGAAGGGCAGGTGGGAATTCTTCTCTGTTTCTAGGAGTGGCAGAAAGTGCTTTGAAATCTGTTTGTGCAAAATGGTGTAAAAATTCCAATTACAGCTATAGAACCAAAGGAAGTAAACAAGCTCTGGAAGCAAGTAGTGGCCTCTGGGATGGAGGAATGTGGTCCAAGGTGACTGCATGAAAGATGTTGTGATTCATGTGTGTATATTAGTGAGTAATTTTCCACCTCGGAAATTATCCAATTACATATTCAAAACACAAGAAGGCAGAGAGAGATTTAAGGAGTTGTAAAACTGAACAAGATGTTATTATGCCAAAGCAATCCTGGTGGTGAAGGCTGCAAGGGAGGCTGCCCTGGTCCAGGTAAACAAATCCCTGGGGAAAGAAGTCAGTGGGGTCCCTGCCTGCCTGATAGCAGAAAAAATGAAAGAGAGCAAATTAAAATAAAGACAGAGAGGTATAGCCAGGCAGTCTCCTCAGACAGGACTACATTGCTGAGGTGGCAACACTTCACCCCCGTGGACCAGAGCTCAGGCACCGTTTGATCCCGGCCTTCCAGCCTGACCCAGAGGTGCCCCGCACCACGCTGTACACTGCTAAATAAGGGCAAAAAAAAATTATTTTGCATTTCATTGCTGCGTTATCACTCCCTGTGCTGGGTACCGGGCACAGCATGTGTTCAGCCCCACTTGGAGGAGCGAGGAGGGGTGCTGTGGAGGACTCCTCCAGGGCTGTGCAACAGCTTCCAGGGCTGTGCTGTACCATGCCACATCGTGTCACAGGGGTCAGTGCTGCAGCCTGGCTCAGGCACTCCTTCCCACACACATCCACTTTTTGGCAGAGTCCTTAAGTGGTTCTCAGCAAACTGAAGCATTTATCAAATGCTCGTCAAACACACTTAGAGCTGCGGGGGGACTTTGCACAAGCTGCAGATCATTGCAGCAGAGGTGATGGCTGTGCCCTGAGTGTCTGCAGTGAGGCTGTTGGGCTGGAACTCATTTGTCTCAGTGCAACACAGGCCTGAGTGTTCCCTGGCTCGAGCTTACACTGTACAGAAAATAAATAGCATACATTTTGCACCCAGTGCTCTGACTTTGTTTCAATCCACAGTTAGGCTTTGAAATAGCACAGAGATACCATTCATGGTGAGCTTTGTATTAGTTAGGGGATTTCAGGAATGATTAATTCACTTCTGCAGCTTTGACACATAAGTCTGGAGCAAGGTCTTCTATTCTACTACAAAAAGTGATTTAGCTGATGGAAGAGGTAACAGTGATTTGGACAACAAAATAGATTCAGATTTCCACTTTCTAACACCTTCCAGACAGCAGCAGAGATGTGAGAAAGCTGAGCACAGGCAGAGGGAGCTGCTCGGACACCTCACACACCAGCAGCAGTGCCAGGAGCAGAGCTGCTGCATCTCAGTCTGTTACAGCATTAAAATGAAGCAGCTCTCACTCGACTACATGCCTAAATGCTCACTTTACAATCAAAGCAGCTATTTTCTTCAAATTCACCTGTTTCTACTTTCATCGATGTCTTCACACACGGTGAAGGAAGATGGGTCAGGCTGCTCCAGATCACTCTCCTGCTCTGGCTGTGTGCTGGAGCTGCCAAGCACTGGGGAACTGCCTGGTCCTGCAAGAGAAAGACACGGGGCCAAAGCATCTGGCACAGCACTTGGGGGTGGACAACCTTGCGGGTGCAAAGCAGTGCTGCAAACCCATAGGTGGTGGGAGACAGAGACCCGCTCTGCAACTGTTCTGCTTGCAGTCAGTGCTGGGAGATGAACCCCTCGAGGGAAGTGAAACTATCCACCCTGAGAGAAGTGAATCACTGCACAACAGACACGACAACCACACCTGACCATTGGTGCCTGAAGCTGCCCCCTCCCAGCCAGGTGATGCTGTCGTGGCTCTGAGCAGGGGATGCACACGCAGGGGTGGTCAGACTGAAGAGCAATGTGAAAAACCATTCACTACATCAAGATGCTGCCAGAGAAGGCATTGCACCATTGTGCCTCTGGAGCTTCTATCGGGGAAGAACTATTATTCCACATCATTGTTCTAGGTGAAGGCACAGCTGTGCTACGTCCTCGAACACATGCCAGGGGAGAATATGATCTGGCCATGTCAGTAGCATCCCTGAGGCTTTTCCAGCTCTGCTGAGAATTAATGCATTCCGCCTGGCTCTGGGCCAGGCCCCAGAGTTGGCTCTGGCTCTGTTACAAACTCTCATGCTATTTGTAGCATCTCTCCCATCCCCAGCACTCAGGCAGCTGGCTGAGAAACATGCTGGTATTGGTTTTGGTTTGTTAAAAAGGCATTTCTCAGCATTGTGGTTACAGAAGAAGCTGAAGACTCACTTTTGAAAACCCAGCCAGAAAGACAGGTGCTTCTGCTACTGGTATCTTACTATTTACAGCATCATTGTGTCCAGGGCAGCCCCCAGGCTAGGAAGATTAAGACCTAGGACACAGGGAATGGTTTTGAATTTGTAAAGCACAAAATGAGCCTCCAGCTGAGTTGCACTGGGTGGCACTGTTGCAGTGGATGCAGCTGGGCCAGCAGCAGTCAGTGCAGGGCAGGGCTCACAGAGCTGATGTAGCTGTTATAGTAATCTTGAGTACAGCCTTCTAACCTTCATTTAACATGTTGAATGATTTTTCTTTTCCAGATGATAATGCCTGAAACCCTCAGCCTTGTCTCCTTGCCAGACCACATGAATTTGTCTAACCTCAGTCTTTCAAACTGAACTTCACTCATCACATAAGTGAGAGGCCACAGCTGTCTGCACAGTGCTGCACTCCAACACTCAAAAATGACTTGGATGGAAAGGTTTAAAGATGGAGGTTCTTTAGTCAAGATTCAGTACAGTTTTCAGATACGTAAAAAGCAGTTATGAATGGAACAGTCTCCTGTCTGTGTCTCCCACTGGTGGAGGAGATATTTGAGGGTGGAAGTCAGGAGCCCTGGGTTCCCCATGTAGACCTTTGAAAACAGAACTGCACCGCAGCAACAGAGGTGTGGTGTTGAGGAGAGCAGCCTTAGGTAA